CCGTCGGCTCGTCGGCGGCCAACAGTATTATACCGGACGTGAATCGCTCGCAACTCTTCACCAGCGTTAACCTCTTCACACCCATCAGTGCGGCCAACGGTTCCAGCGCTTCCCGAATGCAATAACGAGGCGATCCGTGGTATGCCATCTGCAAGAGGTGGCCGTTCTTGTCGGTGATGGTGGCCTGCGGTCGATGGATACCGACGCCCCACGGCTTACTGATGGCCAACAGTTGGCGGTCAAAGTACACCACTTGATCCGCCAGATAGCGGCTGAACGCGGCCAGAGATGACGGCCACGGGAACAGCTGGTCGTACGGCCGAAGGGGTGGCATATTTCGTGGCCGTCGGGCGCTGTCGGCCGCCGTATCGGCCGTTTGGTCCGCGGCTGCCGAAGACGACAGGTGTATGTGTTGTCTGCGGCACGTGTTGTGGACACCAGTTGTTGGCCACAAATGGGGGCAAATCTGAGGCAAACTTTGGCCGCAAACCAGTGTTTTTCGCATCGCTTTCATCGCAACACTCGTTGTTATGAAATGTTTTATTAATTGTAATTAAATTTGATTTCAAAATAAAATAAAAGTCTATTTAACACATGTTTGAAACAGTCTTCAAATCCATTCACAAACAACGTGACGGCCATATCAGACAAAATATTGGCATCCCTTTAGTACACAACAGATTTATAGGCATAGCTTAAACATTGAACCAAATATATCCCCCTCTCCTCCCCCGTCAATAAATTAGTACCTCATTTACGGACAACACAAATGCCTATTCGGGCCGTAATTTCTGGACAGCAATACATTATTTACAGCACGTATTGAATGGCAAAGAAAAGTGCAAACAATAACAAAACACTGCAATTATAATAATTAAAAACACAATACAATTAAAACTAATTATAAATTAACACCGCGTTTGTGTGGACACAATCCCCGCCGCACCCATCGCTGGACACATAGTGTGTGATTGAGTGGATAACCGGTACGTTATATACGAATGGCTCCCGCGAGAGCCCTCTAATTGAATATTGATAATGATTTGTGTGTTGTTTTGCCCCCCAATAGCGCCCCCTTTTCGTTGGTGAAGAAGATGTCTACTCCGGGCACCGGATGGGGTTCGGGACCCAATCAGTACCACGAGAGCGCCCAAGAGATTGAGCGCATCCAACGGCGGGCGCAGATCCGCCGCAACCTCAAGAGCGAGTTCAACCGTATCTATTATAACCCATACAAAGCGGCCGCACACGTGGAAATGGTAGAACACCCCTCCCTCACCCCCACAACTGCCCCCTCCCTACCCCTCTCATACACCACCCGTTTCAGGGATTATCACACGATTAAGAGTCGATTGTGTGCCTTATTATACACAAGTTTACCTCGTATTTAGTACCCTAACCCCCAGCGCCCCCGTCCCACCCCTTTCCCCTACCCGTCACTCTTGCAATACTTAATGAATATATAACGTGTGGTGTCCTCTCATCCAAACAGTTAGATCCAGCGGTGCAACGGTTTATGGCGATGAGAGCGACGTATTGGCAGTACTGGAAGCCCTCGTGGCGTAGTTTTGCCAACTTCTTCGTGGCCTCGTTTCTGCCCATCTGGGGCTGGGGTTACTTCATTAACTACAAACGGGTCAGTATTACCCCCCACTACCCCTACCCGTCCCGTTCCCGACCTAACCATTGTTTGTGTTTGTAATTGTGTTTTATGTGTGACCGCAGAGGGAGTTTGACGCCAAGTGCCGCACCGGAGAGATACGAGTCCATCAAAGACAGGTTCGGGCCGTATGAGTGCCGCCCCCACCGCCCGTTGCGCTCATTGGCAATGGTTTTTGTGTTGCGGTGGTGTTAGAGACATGTCTTATATATTAGCAATTTAGCAAATAGATAGCGATTTAATTTTGTTTGTAATTAGTTTTAATTAAAATTTAAAATAAACATTTATTGTGAATTAAACCCAAACGTGTTGTCGTTGTTGTGGACACACAGTCTATGGACACACTCGCGGTTTACGGCATCACTCGATCGGTAATATCATTGAATGAAATGCGATTACAACTAAAGCTTTATTATAGCATAGGAAATATATGCGATTGGAATAAGGGCTCAACTCAATCAATTGTTTATATTCTAAATACAAGAATTGTTTAACATTAGTTACGCCTTTATTATCTAACTTAAAAACACAATGCAAGTAATAGTGACGCCAAACGGCAAATATTCACGTAAAACAATAAAGTTTTTTGAAAAAGTATTTGCAATCATTGCATCATTGGATTCACCCGTTAAAGCGGTTCCCAAAATGGCGACACTTGAGTGGCACAGAGACATGGATAGAGTGGTAGTGCACGAAGAGGGCATGGGATGCGCTGCCGGCGACACATCGCTGGTCACCGACGACAGTGGCGAACGAGTGGCGGAACATCCCCTCAATAGCCCGCCGCCAACGGCTGAGACACTAGTAAGTAATGCCAACCAAAGAGTCGTATACATTGACTTAGACATGGATTCAATGGACGAAATAAGTGAATATTTTGAGAACTCCTGTGAAGTCTCTCGTAATTGTGAATTGACTGCAAATGCGGACACAAATGAAGAAGAAGATGAGGAAGAATTGAAGATAGGGTACGAATCGGTGGTCAACAATATGACAACACTTCAAATCACATCCAATGAAGGGATGGCTTCGGCCGCGGAGGCCTCCATGCCGTGCGTGGAAGCGATCCGCGACCACCGCATCCACTCTAACGGTTTGCTTCAGTATCTGCTGAAGTTCAAGGGCTATCCCGAAAAGGCGAATGTCTGGGATTTCGAGATACGCTTCGAGACCGACTACGACGAGTTGTTGCAACGCTTCCGCAGCGAGACTGTCAACGGCCGACACCCGCCGAAGTGGTCGTGGGATGAGTTGGGCAAGTTTGCCAATTGTGTGGAGCGGGCGGTCGGCGAGGGGTTGCAGGACTTGGCCGTACTGTACCGCCTGTCTGACCACAAGCACACCGTCGCCGAACTCCGCTCCGCACCGAATCTGGTGAAACAATTGCAGCGCGAAATCAAGACAAATGTTGGCCTATTTCTTGATGAACGCTATGGCTATAGTGAGCACGAGAGGTGGCGGGCGATACAAGCCGTCGAAGAGGTGGCCGAACGCTTGAAACTAAGGGCCAACGGCTTCCCAACGCTTACCGATTGGTTTGAGTTCATCGACCGGCGGCCCAAACGATTGGCCAAATTCGCCGCCGCGTGTAATAAAGTGATCCGCGAAACGGGCGAAGGCCTCGAGATATCGGTCGCCAACGATTACGACCTGGAAGTGCCTGTTTTGAAGCGATACGTCGGCAAATGCGTGTACGACAGGAAACTGTACCCGAAGTCTACGGTTACCGACACCGAGAAGTATACGATTCACTCGTGTAAATGCCAGGACTGCTTCAAAGATCACAACAAGTGCTGTCCGGCGCGCAACAAATCCTCAATGGTCTACGACGGGAACGGTTTGCTCCGGAAGAATATTCTAAAGAAAATCACTCCCCCAATGATCTTCGAGTGTAACCGGAACTGCAAGTGCGGCGCCGATTGCGCCAATCGTGTGATACAACGCGGCCGTCAGTATCGGCTGGAGATCTATCGGCCGCCGGACGCGGCTGTGAGGGGTTGGGCGGTGCGAGCGCTGCAGCGCATACCGAGCGGTACATTCGTGTCCAACTACTCGGGCGAAGTCATATTGTCGACAGAGGCTGACAAACGGCCCAACATTTACTTGTTTGACGCTATTTGGCCGAAGAGGCGCTGGATTGGCACAGTTGTCGATCATAATGAGTATGTGATCGACGCCTACAAGTGCGGTAACGTCAGCCGTTTTATCAATCACTCGTGCGAACCCAACTGCCGCGCCCTCTACTCATACGTCCGCTCGTATAACAAACATTTTCCGACTGTTTCGCTGTTCACCACCCGTGAGATCGAACCGTACGAAGAGCTCACCTATGATTACGGCGAGTCATTTACAACAGCGCCAAAGAATTGGACCGAAGAGGCGAACAGTAATGGCAATTGTAATGGTGTGGCGAATGGCGTGAGTAATGACGTATCCAATGGTATGGCTAGTGATGTAACCACTGGTGGCGGTGAGAGCAGACCCGCGGCCGACAGACCCGAGCGCTTGGCCTTAAAGCGCGTTGACTGTCATTGCGGCTCAGAAAAGTGCCGCAAATATCTGTATTTAAAAACCATTTTTACTTAACGAGCGAACAGTTTTGGTAACTTTAAAATAAATCATAGATTAGATTAGCGCACAATTAACACACCCTTTCCCTACACACCCCTCCCAACAAACCACTCGACAAAATATCATCAAAAACTATACTCTAATTTAATGTAATAAACAATCATTGAATGAAATGCGATTACAAGTGTCTCACAAAACATGATTTATTAATATCTAATTAAATATATATAGAATTGATTTACAAATAAATTACAATTAATATTTGTACCAAAAAATAACCGACAGGAAAAATACACGCAAACAAACGCATGATCGATAGCACGGGTACCCAAAGCACAGGAGCACCGGTAGTGGTCAAGTGGTGTTATTATACGTTATTATACCGTTGTTGATAATTACCGGCCATCTGTTGGCCGCTGGAGTACATGTTCTGGCTCTGCATGCCGTGACCGGAGGCTCCGGACGCCGATGAGGTGACCGGCGGCAGTGTTTGGCCGCCCATTCCGCTCATGCGGACCCGTTTGACGCCCTGATTGTGATTATTGTTGTCGTGGTTTTGATTGTTATTGTTTTGCTGTTTATTATTCGTGTCGTTCTTGTCTTCGTTCTCGTCGTCGGTGAGAAACTCACGCTTCGGGTACGGTATGGGACAGCCGTGGAATACGCTATGGAGTGAATGGACAGGTATTAGTCTAGTAATTGTAGATATAATTACAATAAGAGACACAAAATACGAGACAAAATAAGTGGTTAAAGTGATCAACAATTTAGAGCCAATAGAGAGAGAGAGAGAGAGAGAGGGAGGGGTGTGTAGGGAAAGGTTGTGTTAATTGTGCGCTAATCTAATGTATGGTTTGTTTTAAAAGTTACCTTCAACAATTTAGAGCCAATAGAGAGAGAGAGAGAGAGAGAGAGAGAGAGAGAGAGAGAGAGAGAGACTCACTCTTGAGTGGGGAGGGGGTCCTCCTGGAAGTAGGTGTCCTGCATAGCGGTATCCGATGTGAGCCGTTTCGTGGGATCCATAAGCAACAGCTTTTGCAACAATTGAAACGCCTTTGAGTCCTGTTTTACTTTATGTTTCTCCATATACTTGACGAGCGAACAGTTTTGGTAACTTTTAAAACAAATCATAGATTAGATTAGCGCACAATTAACACACCCTTTCCCTACACACCCCTCCCAACAAACCGCCCGACAAAATGTCATCAAAAACTATACTCTAATTACAGTTAATAACACATAATTAATGTAATAAACAATCAATTAGTCTATCAAACAATCAATTAGTTTATCAAACAATTACTTATTGCGCTTAAAATCCTTGGAAAGGGTCGGGTGTTCAGGCATTTTGCGTATGTCCTCCCAGTCCTTGTCCAATGGGAAGCCCATCACATTGAATATGCGGTCGAGTTGGTCGTGATGGTAGGGGTTCGAGGTCTTAATGTCCTCCTGTCGGCAGTGGAATATGGGCTCTGAGGTCAACAGTTCGGCGAATATGCAACCGATGGCCCAAATGTCGATCGCTTTGGTGTAGTGACGCGCGCCGAGCAATAGTTCCGGCGCTCTGTACCAGAAGGTGACCACCACTGGGTCCAAGTCGGCCAACGGTTTGAGTGGGGCGTTGAATAGGCGGGCGAAGCCCATGTCGGCGATCTTCACCCGTCCCCTCTCCACCCCTTCGCCCATCACCAGAATGTTCGCCGGTTTCTAAACCATTCAAAAACAAACATACAATTTGTTTTCAATTATAATTGAAATGTAATTAACAAATAGATGGCACATAATGTGATCAATAATTACTAGATCTCTGTGCAGAACCCAATTGGTGTGCAGGTAGTGAATGCCGTCCAGTATTTGGTATATCAACGATTTGACCATCCCTTTCGGCACGACCACTTGCTTTTTGTTGGCTTTGGCCCCTCTATGGAACTTAATTATGTGCTAAACACGTGGTAGAGGGGGGTTAAGGGGTAGATAAAAATAATTAGTACAAAAATAGGGTGTTAGTAAAGTTTAAGTGTCATTTAGGTTTAAATAAACCACATTAACACCCGAATAACCCTTTCAATGCCGTCAAAATACCGGCGGCGGTGACTACCAGTGCCGCCACCGTCGCCGCCGAACACATACCCAGAGATCGTGTTCCGCGTAATCGAATAGTAGCCACACTTTGCGGTCCGAGTGGGACAGGAATACCCGCTGTAGGTTTATCACATTCACGTGCTTTAGTTCTCGTAATAACTGTATGAATAACGCAAAGCAAACCCAATGGTTACTCCCGATTGTCTTATCAGTGAACACATCATTAATAAGATAACAACACTTACAGCTATTTCACGGCACGCGGACATCGATATGCCGGTGCCCTCGATCTGTTTGAGCGCATACTCGCGCGTATCGGAGCTAAAAACACAGACAATTAAACTTATGCGGAGAGAGAGAGAGAGAGAGAGAGAGAGAGAGAGAGAGAGGGAGGNTGCGGAGAGAGAGAGAGAGAGAGAGAGAGAGAGAGAGAGAGAGGGAGGGAGGGAGACGTGTGAGAGAGTCAAGTGTCAGGTCAGGGTTAGGGAACCATTAGATAGGTGTCAACACACAAAGTATCAAAAGACTTTGTCAACAGAACTATCGGTGCATTAAATGCAATAACAAGTCTGTTGTGCTGGTAGTGAAGGGTCAGGGGGTGACCAGAGAGTGGCCATTAGCGGGACACACGTACCCGTCCTTGCGTTTGGCTTTATAGACGTGACCATAGGTGCCGCGGCCAACCTTACAGCCCTCGTACTCAAACAGTTCCTCTACTTTATCCCTTTCCGATGCGGTCTTCACTTTAAAGTCATAGTCCATGAAATGCTGTCCACAAAAACAAATCAACAGACAATTAGTGGACAATTAGTTGTAATTATAGTTAACACTCGTTGTAATACACCGTAAAGCTGTATAGTGTACACCCATAGAGTATATATACCTAATGTCTGGTCACTCAGGCCGCGAGTGAAGTTAACGAGTAGTACACTATAACATGCATTGTCTGTATTGATCGTCTCATATACAGCGCACGTGCCGTATAGTGTACTGACTGTTGTTTATGTGTTATAACGGGTGTACACTATATGACAGCTGTTTGTTATTGTAGTTTACATTTCACTCACCATTTAATTTGACAGCAAATGACAATTTGAGACAATAATTGTGTTTTGTATTGATTTGTACGTAAAAACTGAAGCTATTTTAATGCCAACGAGAGTTGCCTGTAGTTCACCGACAGTTGATATGCTTTAAAAAAGTTAATTAAAAGTAATTTTAATTACAATTTTATAACGAAATTAAATATTGAGTAAAAAATAATTGATTTAAATTTTATGTTGTGTTTGCAAATCAATGCAAAACCTATCCATACATTACGTACACCAAAAACAACACTCACTCACTATAATATAAAACAATAAAACAAAACTAGGTAAACAAACTAGCAACTAAACCAATTGATCATGTCACATCACATTTCACCGTGGTAAATTCAGCACATAAACCCATAAAAATCACCTTGATAATAGTTAACTCACCAAAAAACCACACACAAAACACCACTTCAACCGCTAGGCGTACGTACTCTATGAACGGCCCCTTCAGAGGCATTCAATTTCAAGCGCCAAACACTTCAATGCATTTAACAGTGAATTACAAAAAGTGATTACAAAACAAGCGGTGATTTACATATCATTACCACCACTGATATCATCACCACTACTGGAACCGCTTCAGTGACAACAGTGACCGACACGACTGACACCACGCGATGCCGAAGAATGTGTGGACTTATAAGAGTCGCCGAATGGGAACCAAGAAGAAGAAAAAGGTGAGCAAATCCAAGGCCAACGCCGCCGACGCCGTGAAGACCGCCGGCGAGTACTTCGTGGAAGAGATCCGCGATCACGGCCTCCACCCGAGCGGTCAGATCCAGTATTTGTTGAAATGGGAAGACTATCCCGAAGAGGAGAACAGCTGGGAGTTCGAGACACACGTCACCGACTGTGAAGAGTTGTTGCAACGGTTCCGCAGCGAGACTGTCAACGGCCGACACCCGCCGAAGTTGTCGTGGGATGAGTTGGACGCGTTCACCAAATACCTGAAGCGAGTGGTCAGCCCTGAGTTCGACGACTTGGCCGTACTCTACCGCCTGTCTGACCACAAACACACTGTCGCCGAACTGCGAGCCAATCAGAAGCTAGTGGTCACTCTTAAGACAGAGATCGAGGTGAAAGTGTGCAACTTTTTTGTCCAGAAGTTTGAACGCAAGACAAACCTCGAGAGACATGAGGCGATGCAAGCCGTCAAAGACGTGGCCAAACGCTTGAAACTGGAGGCCAACGGCTTCCCAACGCTTACCGATTGGTTTGAGTTCATCGACCGGCGGCCCGAAGTGGCCGCTGGATTGGCCCGATTCGCCGACAAGTGTAATAAAGTGATCGCTAAGAAGCGCGAAGGCGTCGAGATATCTGTTGCCAACGATTACGACCTGGAAGTGCCTGAATTGGAGCAATACGTCGGCGAATGCGTGTACGACAGGAAACTGTACCCGAAGTTGACGGCCACCGACGCCGAGAAGTATACGATTCACTCGTGTGAATTCCGCCGGTCACCTCATCGGCGTCCGGAGCCTCCGGTCACGGCATGCAGAGCCAGAACATGTACTCCAGCGGCCAACAGATGGCCGGTAATTATCAACAACGGTATAATAACGTATAATAACACCACTACCGGTGCTCTCCTGTGCTTTGGGTACCCGTGCTATCGATCATATGTTTGTTTGCGTGTATTTTTCCTGTCGGTTATTTTTTGGTACAAATATTAATTGTAATTTATTTGTAAATCAATTATATATATATTTAATTAGATATTAATAAATCATGTTTTGTGAGACACTTGTAATCGCATTTCATTCAATGATATTCACCGATCGAGTGGTGCCGTAAACGGCGAGTGTGTCCATAGACTGTGTGTCCACAACAACGACAACACGGTTTCGGTTTAATTCACAATAAATGTTTATTTTAAATTTTAATTAAAACTAATTACAAACAAAATTAAATCGCTATCTATTTAATTGATAAATTGCTAATATATAAGACATGTCTCTAACACCACCGCAACACAAAAACCATTGCCAATGAGTGACAGCAACGGGCGGTGGGGGCGGCACTCATACGGCCCGAACCTGTCTCTGATGGACTCGTATCTCTCCGGTGCGGCACTTGGCGTCGAACTCCCTCTGCGGTCACACATAAAACACAATTACAAACACAAACAATGATTAGGGACGGGGAACGGGACGGGTAGGGGGGTAGTGGGGGAACCGGTAATACTGACCCGTTTGTAGTTAATGAAGTAACCCCAGCCCCAGATGGGCAGAAACGAGGCCACGAAGAAGTTGGCAAAACTACGCCACGAGGGCTTCCAGTACTGCCAATACGTCGCTCTCATCGCCATAAACCGTTGCACCGCTGGATCTAACTGTTTGGATGAGAGACACCACACGTTATATACTATATATCCATTAAGTATTGCAAGAGTGACGAGACGGGGAGGGGTGGGGGCGCTGGGGGTTAGGGTACTAAATACGAGGTAAACTTGTGTATAATAAGGCCCACAAGACTCTTAATCGTGTGATAATCACTGAAACGGGTGGTGTACTGGAGATACGAGAGGGATGGGGTGGTTGTGGGGTGAGGGAGGGGTGTCGGGGGTGTGTGTCCCACCATCTCGACGTGTGCGGCCGCTTTGTATGGGTTATAATAGATACGGTTGAACTCGCTCTTGAGGTTGCGGCGGATCTGCGCCCGCCGTTGGATGCGCTCAATCTCTTGAGCGCTCTCGTGGTACTGATTGGGTCCCGAACCCCATCCGGTGCCCGGAGTAGACATCTTCTTCTCAACGAAAAGGGGGCGCTTTGGGGGCAAAACAAACACAAATCATTATCGCGTTTTTGTTGACCAACCGATTCAATCATGTGTTAACTCTCTCGCGGGAGCCGTTCGTATATAACGTACCGGTTATCCACTCACACACACTATGTGTCCAGCGATGGGTGCGGCGGGGGTTGTGTCCACACAAACGCGGGTTTAGTTTACAATTAGTTTTTGGTTACTATAATTGCAGTGTTTTGTTATTGTTTGCACTTTTCTTTGCCATTCAATACGTGCTGTAAATAATGTATTGCTGTCCAGAAATTACGTCCGAATAGGCATTTGTGTTGTCCGCAAATGAGGTACTAATTTATTGACGGAGGAGGAGAGGGAGGGGTATAATTGGTTCAGTGTTTAAGCTATACATTAATAGTAATGTTGGTACAAAAGGGGTGCCACTATTTTGCCCGATATGGCCGTCACGTTGTTTGCGAACAGCTTTGAGGGCTGTGTTTCAAACATGTGTTAAATTAAATAAACATTTAGTTTGAAATCAAATTTAATTACAATTAATAAAACATTTCATAACAACGAGTGTTGCGATGAAAGCGATGCGAAAAACACTGGTTTGCGGCCAAAGTTGGCCTCAAATTTGCCCCCATTTGTGGCCAACAACTCGTGTCCACAACACGTGCCGAACACAACACATACACCTGTCGTCGACAGCGGCGGACCAAACGGCCGGTACGGCGGCCGACAGCGCCCGACGGCCACGAAATGTGCCACCCCTTCGGCCGTACGACCAGCTGTTCCCGTGGCCGTCATCTCTGGCCGCGTTCAGCCGCTATCTGGCGGACCAAGTGGTCTACTTTGACCGCCAACTGTTGGCCATCAGTAAGCCGTGGGGCGTCGGTATCCATCGACCGCAGGCCACCATCACCGACAAGAACGCCCACCTCTTGCAGATGGCATACCACGGATCGCCCCGTTATTGCATTCGGGAAGCGCTGGAACCGTTGGCCGCACTGATGGGTGTGAAGAGGTTAACGCTGGTGAAGAGTTGCGAGCGATTCACGTCCGGTATAATACTGTTGGCCGCCGACGAGCCGACGG